TGCATGGATTACCCGTAGAAAGCCAGCCAAACAATAATAATAAAAAAAATAATACACTCAATACGGTGCTAATAACGGCATGTGTCTTATTCAAACAAGTTAAATGGATTTTTTTTTAAATAAGACTGTCAATCAAAGTGGTCCCATGCTCAAGCAAACATTCTGTGGTGCTGAGCAGCAAATGATGCAAATGTCACATTCCTACGGCAGGGAACAGATGATAGAACATCCACTTCTATAGTCCCACAGAGTGCTATGGCCATCCCTTTGTGGTACTTTTTTACTCTTGCTTGAGGGTCACTAATGATGATGGGCTGGGTGAAACCCTGATGATGATTTGAACAAGCAGTCTCACGTAAACAATACACCTCCACATATCCGTCTGTCTACTTTAACAAAAAAGAAGAGGAGGTTTTTATTTGCGCACGTTACGTTGGCCACAGGGCCTTCTGGGAGCGCATAATTCCATCGGCGTTCATTTTAACAACAAGCAAAAGCTGGACAGGTTTCGACATGTTCTTCTTGGTTCTTTCGGTAAAGTCACGTAGAAGGGAAATAATAAAAAAATAAAAAATAAACCAATTAAATAATTCTCACGACGTTTCGGCCACAACGCAAGCAGCCGTCCTCAGGTGAAGAACAGGTCTGTCGGAAAGACAGCGTCTGAATGGGCTGTGAGAATTATTTTATTATGTTTTATTTTTATTATTTTATTATTTCCCTTCTACGTGACTTTACCGAAAGAACCAAGAAGATGAATCCCTGCAGTCACGAAAGCTTTAAATCGAAATTTCGACATGTTTTCGTCTCATCAGCAGAGTCAGGCTAGTTCATATCAATTCTGGTGAGCTGCCCATCGTCTCTGTTGGGTAGATATGGGTGTAAGTGAACGGTGAGCATTGAGTGTGCGCCACAATAGAGCGCGCGCGTGTGTTTTTCACCTGGACTCAAGCAGACCATTATATGCCTCATTGTCTTCGTATGAATCTAGCCAATTTATTCTTGCGCTCTTGTCACACGTCCCCTTCCGCCGCCCCCCCCCCCCCCCAATAGGAAAACAGATTAAAATACAATAACGCCACCGTTGATGGATCGATCCTCACCCGGCCTCCACGAGTTGGGAGGAGGTTTGGCGATCGGCGGTTGCGGGCCCCCCCCTCCCCCAAAAATAAAGCGCCCGTCGTTGAAAGAATTCTCCCGAATTTTTTTCGATGTCGTAGCGTTAAGGGAAATCTGTGAGGTTAAAGCCCCCCCCCCGTAATGTTGAGCGTTGTGGGACGACTGGAATGAATTTACAAATGCAAACTGGCAGGAACAACAACTTTATCGGCTCTTAACGCACGCAACCACATGTGTGTGCAAGGTTTTACTGCCGTGTGTCCCAGAATCTGTTACATCTGTGAGCTTCATAGCTCATCGTATTTCTCCCAGTATAAATATACATTCTGATCCTTTCTCACCAGGATCGATTCCTGCATATAATAACAGATTTCAATCTCGATTCCTCCAATGTAGTCATCATCATCATGATCCATGCGCAGAGAGCCCGTAGGTGTCCACTGCACATTTCTACATTTGTTTTCACTCTCCTCTTGTCTTGTGCCAATATGCTCAAGTAGTGGCCACTTCTTTCTGGCACCGATCTTTTCTTATGTCGTCGTCGTCAGGCCGTTCTCTGTTATGTCTTCCTTTCTTTCCGGTTCCTTCCATTTTTCCGAAACAACACACTTTACATTTTCCTGTTCTTGTCCATCCTACACGTGTGTCCAAACAGTGCCAGTTTCATCTTCTTGGTTCTTTCGGTAAAGTCACGTAACTTTACCGAAAGAACCAAGAAGATGAATCCCTGCAGTCACGAAAGCTTTAAATCGAGAAGTGCCAGTTTCCTTCTCATCACTGCCTGCATCATCAGGTTGTCTTCTTCTGTATTGGTTATCTGGAAGAAGAATTTGAAGAAGGATTAAAAAAAACACATTACTGGAGGGTGTCAGCGTCGCAGATTGACGTTTCACGGAGGTGCACCATCACAATCGCAGTGCGCGAGCCAACGGCCGCTGGACATTGACCTTCATTTCTCACTCTCGATATTTTCCGGAAGGTCTGCCGGGGGCAGCGCTGGTGCAGGGATTACCTGCATGCGGCGCTACCACTGCGGAGTACGACGTACGCCGATCCGTCATGTGCCCTATAAACCTGTGAGGGCAAAGTGTGGTGTCGCGAGGATGAAACGAGAATTAACGAATGCGGTGTGGCGAAATAATTTTTCGGAAAACATTGTCCAGACTAATCTTGATTTGAAGCTTTCGTGACTGCAGGAATCCATACTCTTTGGTTCTTTCGGTAAAGTCACGTAGGTAGAAAAAATAATCGATCACGACGTTTCGATCGTGATCTATTGCAAGCAACCGTCTTCTTCTTTTTCACCTGAAGACGGTTGTGGCTGGGAAAACTCGGACCGGTTCAGTGGTATCTGAACCGGTCCGAGTTTTCCATGAGGTCGGGTCGGCCTTTTGTGATTGCAAAAACAGTTTCTTCCCATCCGCTGCTGGTCTCTTCAACAAGGCCAGGGGCTCAAACTGACTTTGACACTCAAACTGACTTTAACACAATATCTGCACAATGACACCCTGCCATATTTGCACTGTGTTAAACTATTTGTATTTTTGTAATTTTATATTGCATATTATAGCTATTGTATATGAATTTTTTTTTTATTCAATTATTACATACTTTAGTTCCTTAGTATTAGTTAGACTTTGTACCTTTAGTATAGTTAGACTTGTACACCACTTATTTAAGATTTAAGATTCCTATATATTGAATGTATGCACCTTCCTGCCAAAGTAAATTCCTTGTCTGTGCGAACTTTCATGGCGAATAAACCCTTTCTGATTCTGATTCTGATGTAGCCGAGTGGCAGCTTTGCTATGAAACACGAGAGGCATTTTGCTGGCGTGGTCAATTTGTCTCCAGTTAGGGTAATAACTGCTCCATCGCTGGGGTATCGAATTTAATTACCGTGTTGCGTTAATGAACGATGTCATTTTGTGTCCAGCGTGTCAAGGGTGATCCTGAATAGGGAAAGTAGTGGAACACGTTGACGAGTACCATTCACGCACGTTGCCATGCCAGGAATTGCGAACAAGCCGTTAACGCCGCCAGCTGTGAGAACGTTTGAAAGAAGAATTAAAATGAATGGAGGCTGCATTTAATTGTTACCATTAAGTGAATGAACAGCAAAGGTAATGATGTAAGCAAGATCAATTCGGGAGAAATCGGTTAAGTGATGAATGGCGAGGAGATGTCGCTGGTGTGCGTGGCTGTTGATATGATGCCGGGGCTGTTTTGCTCAGTGGTTTTCGGAGAAGAAAAAACACTTGTAATTCAGAATTCCTCCCCCTCCCCCTCTCAACCTCCCCCAAAAAACCCCCAAAACGTATATGAGCACTGGGTCATTATTTACAAGTATTGAGCAGGCTGGAGATGGACCGCCCGCCCAAACGTGTGAGCCACAGTGGGGTCACTTCATTGCTGTGAGATTTCTTCAATTAATTTCGCCCCGGCGCTACGGTGCACAGCAGCGAGAGCCGACCTAATGGCATAATGGTTGCACGGTTAAAATACAGATAGGCCTTATTAAAGCCGGCATTCCTGCTTTAGTTGAAAAATAACCCCCTTTTTTGCAGAGAATTGGCTTAAGGCCTACTTGTTACAGCGAGGGCTTTTTTTACACGGCCAATAAACACTCCGACAAGAAGAACCACGCGCGTTCGGAGGATGTTTGTGCGTGGACTCTACGCCGCCAGCATTGGGCTACGTTTGAGCCTGGTTTAGTATCCAGCATTGGGCTACGTTTGAGCCTGGTTTAGTAGCCAGCGTTGGGCTACGTTTGAACCTGGTTTCGTAGCCAGCATCCCGAGCGCCGGTCGGCACACCGGCGAGGCGTGTGCGTAAGTCGCAACGCAGCTGTGAATCGCTCGTGTGTGGACGTCTCTGCAACCGGTTGCGAGGCAGTTGCGCAACTGGTTGTTCACAGTAGAGAGCGTCGATCTGCTCGGCGACACGTGTGGCGGCGGCGGCGTCTTTCGTCACGCGATTGGTCGTTACAATTTAAGTTTCCTCGGTGCACAACCACTCACGCTCGGATGTGGCCAACGTAGTTGCAAGGGGCAATGATCAAGTTGAGCGACTTTGGCTGCTCAACTGAATCAGGGGAGGGGGGGGGCCTTGAGCTACTTGGGGCCATACGCTTCGCTTAGTTTTTTTCAATGCCTTGCAGAACCATTGCATGAAGACGTAAATCACCGCTTGAAGAAGTGGATGTTATTGTAAAAAAATATATATTTGACGTAATTTTCTGTTTTGTTTGATTGCATTGAGTTGGGTGAAACTGGAACTTGTTGGCTGACTAAGCAAGTGCAATACTACATGTATATTTGTTTTACTCATCATCAGAGTGAAATTTATTTCCATTTGCCTCCTACTATTGGCACATTTCTCAACATATCTGAAATACCACTGAGTCAGCAAGCCACTATACACCACTGACATGTCCAGGGGCTGACACAGTTAGAGATACGTCTAGTCGTGGCCTTCTTATGTACACCTGCTTCTGGTTGTTTTTCATTATTATAAATATCTACTGAGAGTAGCGGTGAGTTTCGGATAAAAAAAAAGTTTTGGGATTTCGTATTTTTAAGAACAATGTTATATGTTTTCCTGATTTTTGCACCATTTGCCTGATGTTACTCCATTTTAAATGTATTTGTGCTCACAGCTATACTGTTAACACATTCTCCAGGTTATCAGATACTCTGGATTTTAAAGTACACCACCCCACAACTTTTGCTTTAAAATACAGGCAAAAAAAGTGCATCTTATAATTCAGAGAATATGGTAACACATCGTATAATGCTGTGCCTCTTCATGTCCACGCATGTGGATGGGATGAATGTCTTTGTCGTGTGATTAACTTTGTCCTGAATGTATGTGCTTTCCAGGGTTCTGAAAGATATCCCACAATGCAACATGCCTCATGCCTGGCAGTACAGGAAGTGATGTCACAGCAGGGCATGGCTCATTCGTCCAATCAAGAGCGACCAGAGGTGGGCTTGCATTCGGTCATCCATCTTCCACATCCAATAGCAGCGCGAGGCATCAGCAAATGCTGAGTTCATGAAAAAAATCGAATCCAAAGCAACAAAAAAAGCTAATTAACATCAAAAGTTACTTTATCTCTCAATTCCCTATCTTGTCTGTCACTTGTCTCTCATTTCATTTAATATTTGTCTCGTGTCTATCTCTCTCTCATTGCACATACATTTGTCTCATTTATATCTCTGTTCTTTTAATGCACTACAGCTGTATCTTATGTCTACATTTCTCTAGAATGTTCCATGTTTCTCTCATTGCACCACATCTCTATCTCTTGCCCACATCTCTGCTGTCATCTCACTCGCAGTTACAAAATGAAAGGCGGGGCCCCCTAATATGATTTCTGCTTTGGGGCACCCATTTGGCCGGCCACCACCACCACCGTTCAGATTCATGATGTTGAAGTTTTAAGGAAACCAATATGATCTTGTAATAGGAAAGTAATGCTTCCGTTAGAAACTGAGAAATCACAACAAAACTTAATTGAAGCTAAAAACTAAAATCTTAAAAATAGTATCCCTCAACTAGATGATTGTTTGAATATATGTGACTGCCGAAAGTGTCACAGTTATACAGGGTACAATAATACAGTACTGGATTGTAGCTCATTTAGTAAATTCTGCTGAATAACATAGAATGATGATGTTGATGGTTAGGATGTTAAATTGTGCTTTTATACGCAGTCGCATAACTTTTATTATTATTATTTCCACTTCGTATCTGGGTGGCATGGTGATAGCGCAGTGGTAACACTTGTGGCTCACAGCAAGGAGGGCCTGGGTTTGATTCCTGACTCGGGCACCTTTCTTCTCCCCCTGTTTTGCATGGGTTTCCTCCGGATTCTCTCCGGATTTCTTCCCATCGCTTAAAAAAAAACCCGACACTGGATCTGGTATTATTGGCAAGTAAATCCCAATGCTGAAATATAGCACGACAAATTTCATAATTGGGATCGTACAGCAACAACATCGTCCCCGAGTTGCGAAAACTCAGCAGGACCTGCCAGAAAAAAATATATTGAGACTCCGTGAGGATTTCCCGGGTAAACAAGCAGAGCAGTCTTAATAATGTATACTGCAGTGATATTTTACGTAAAAACAAACCTGGAATTTGGATGAATCCTGATAGCACGGTTAGCTGTAACTTGAGCTGTACAGTAAACGTGCAATGAAAGTAAATCTGAAACAATAAAATTCTGTAATTTTTTTTAAATCTAGCCTGCATTGTAGTGCAACTGAACATTATTGCGGATTCTCGAAATTTACAACAATGCACCACCGAGCGATATCGCTGTTTCCACAATCCACGCCTCCTTGGTACTCCCGTGTTCGTCCATCAATCCACTGCTGGATTAGGGGCCTGCCCATTGCCGTGTGGGTCGTAGATGTTATCTGACCATACTTCGCCGTGCTGGTCAGTGCTGGTCGGTGAAAGTTGGGAGCGTAAATGTGATGGCATAGAATTGCTCTAGGAAGACAGCAGCTGCCTCGGTGAAGGACGATCCTGGGAAGACTCGGTGCATACCAGGCGCTTTGGTCATAGGCCTCAATGGCTCTGTCAATATAGCTTGGTGAGGTGGCAAAGAAATACTAGTAATGTCATTGAATAAGTAATTAAATAAATACGCGCCTTTCTAAAGCTACGGAGGTTTTCGCGGGTGCGGTGTCAGACCGGAGCCATCGAATGTGTTTTTGGGTCCTACCGCATGTCCCTTTTGGGCACGGTGTCCGACGTTTCGGAGGATGCACGCTCTGTCATCGAGGGTGAGAGAAAGTGAGATGCTCAACTCGGCTCCCGAAGAGAGCCTCCGAGCTCCACGTAGGAGCGTCGCCCCCAAAACAACAGCCCTCCAAAACGGGGCACGGGGATATGCCAAGTCTCGGACTTGGTGGCACAAAGAAAGCTAGCTCGCTACGAAACCCGGTAGCCCGGGTTCGATTCCCGCTCATGGGCCACCACCAGTGACGATTATCTGCACTGGTCCTGGGCCTCCCCTAGGTCGACTCAGCCTCAAATGAGTACCTGGTGCGGTTTTCTAAACATCGCCACTGGGGAGACGACTGATCTGGTGCTGGCCAGCTCGTGTGCCGTGCCGGCCTTCGTAGGTCCTTGCTAACAGCATTGCCCCAACAGTCTGGTAAGGCTACACGGGGGATCTTTGTCTTTGTTAGTCAACCCATGGCACCTAGGTCTGGCCCTTGATCTCCTGCCAGCGAGCTTTCCACACTTCCCGTGGCCTGAAAGTGCATCTAGCCTTGCACAAGCACCGTGATGAAGTCACCGCCACTCAGTGGTGAAGCGCTGCTCTTGTTGTTGTTGTTGAACCTAAGAAGGCCATCACACTACTGTACTCTCAATGGGTGCCGATGTAGACACACCGCACCAAGTACAGGCCCAGAGCCAGTTCAGATACTGTATACATTGGGGGGTGTTTGCCAAGAGTGGTAATGGGGGGGGTACGGGTGAAGATGAAGATGGAGGGATGGGGAAGTCTTTGCCCTCGCTGCCGGTCGCTCCGCGTCAGATCAAGATTAAATATCCCGCCTCCTGAGCAAAGCGCGGTAGGGCTTGCTTAATTATCCCAGGCTAGGGTTGAGAAAGCACCCACAAACGTTTTAATACTTTTTTATTGCCACTTCAAAAAAGCCTAAACTTTTACCTTTTTGCGCCTTAACTCTTCCCTGCACCGTACGCGTTTCCTAAAGCGCGGTAGCGCCACTGCACTACGGACCTGGTCACCCGTTTTATATTCCCGCTCTCGGGTCAGCACCAGTCATGTATGTTTTAACTGGTCCTGGGCCCTCCCCTACGTCCACTCAGCCATAAATGGGTACCGCAGCTGGTGCAGTGTGTAAACATCGCCACCCCTTCAAGTCGAGTATGGTACTGCCATGGCCTTAATAGGTTCTCACACCTAGGATCGCCAGCTTTCCTAGAATTGGAATCTGTGTCTGGTTCACAGAAATATGTATTTGTACCGCGATCCGGTACCGTTATTGTGTTGAACTTTATTGCAGTAGACTGCACAGCGTTTGTTATATATGTAGGTATGTTGAATTTATTTCTCACCGTATGTAGCCAACCGTGCTAATCAGAGGTGCGAAGGAAGGACAACAAACTAAACACAAAATCAGTTCTAAAAAAAATAGTTTTCAACCTAGATTTAAAAGTGCAAAACTTCAGTGGCTTCCTAATATCTGACGGCAGAGCGTTCCAGACGGCCACAGAAGCGCATCTGAAGGCGCGTGATGATTCAGTCACCGTCTTTGTTCGTTGGCTAGCCAAAAGCCAGCCGCTGCCGCTGCTGCTGCTGCCGCCGCCGCTGCTGCCGCCGCTGCCGCTGCTGCCGCTGCTGCTGCGAGGATGAGCGCAGTTCGTGTGATGGTGGTTTATGCTCCTTGACGAGATCAGCAAGGCACTGTGGTTCATTTGTGGCAAGCCCTTTTTGTGTAATGAGTGCGACCTCATAGGCTAGACCGACTGACATCTATCTGGGTTTGGTCCTACAGTGCAAAAGGTGGCAACCCTTTCTGACAGTGCTTGCCCCAGCGGTCTATGAAGGATTTTTAAGGTTTGTTTGTTGCCGTTGCTGTTAACGTAATGGCCATTAGTGCAAGTGGAGGGCTGTTTGTTGGATCATGATGCCACATTGGTTGATTATATCTGTGTTTGATTGGAACAACCTTGTTTTCGATACCCTTAAGATCGTAAACCCACCTTGAAAAAAAATATCATCAAGGAGAATATTAGCGCTGGATGCATCGGTCACATTTGCAAATGTGATTTTGTAACTTTGACCATTACCTGTTTGTCGATAGTCCAATGTTCACGTGGCCATGCTGTTGAGGGATTACTCCTGTGTGGTGTTATCTTGGTGTGGTCTCGGACTGCTTCGTTGTTGTTTTTTTCTGCCTTGCCCAATCTTGATAAAAAATTGATTCGTATTTAATTAATTTATATCTCAGAACTCGCTTACGATTGTCCTCTATTTTTGCACACGTGGCTCATCGGATTCCTCCTCCATGTCTCAATAAAGATTCTCATTGAGAGGTGCTCACGGTCAGGGGGAGCCCCAGTGATGCTCGCCAGCCCGCTGGCACGGAGCTCGGCACATTTTGCTCTTTTGCTCCGTGATGTCTGGGCCAGGCACGGGCCTGTGACAAAGAAAACCCTGGTGGGGACCCATTTCGACATTCATCGTCACGATCAGCAGAGTGAGACTTGCTTAAAGCAATGCTGGTCAACTGCCAGATGGGTTATGAGCAAGAACCCTCGCTGCTGAATATACGACTAAGTTATGCAGGACTGCCAGCGGTTGGTTGTTTTGTGGCTAGAGATCGCTCGCGTGGTGAATGCCAAAGCTAAAACTTGGCTAGCCGTGACTTTTGGCCATATAGATCTGTCCGCCCCACAGAGCACGAAGGAAAAACGATCAATCGTGATTTTGAAAGGCATTCAACTTACAAGCCCACAAGGCATGGTCTACACCTGGCCTGTTTCTCGGTTGCGGTAGGCTACCGTCGGAATCGCGTGCGCTGGACTGCCTGTGCTTAATTTCAGCCGGAACAGTGGAAAATGCTGTTCAGGCAAATGTTTTGGCCCAACGACAACCATCACGGTGCCGTATTCTGTTCTCCTTATACTCTGCTGGGTGTGTGCGGTGGTGTGCGAGACAACGCCACGAATAGCTCTCAAGGTAACCACACGTCCCCCGAGGATCATGCTTGGGAATATACGGCACAGTAATAATGATGTGAGGTTATTATGGATAAGTATGCTTTGATCTCTAGTGGTAGTGCCTTATGCCGATAATCAGAGGTGTGGACTCGAGTCATGTGACTTGGACTCGAGTCAGACTCGAGTCATGAATTTGATGACTTCAGACTCGACTTGGACTTGCATAACAATGACTTTGTCCCACCTCTGAGGTGTGGACTCGAGTCATGTGACT